ATGAAAATTGAAAGGGTTTATCGGCTGGTCTGAAGCCTCATAGCACATTGCTTATTTATGCAGTCCATTTGCACCAGGAAATGTAAAAGGGAAATACATTTCAAAAATAAGGTCATAAAGACCCAGATGTGTTTAAGATGGTGAAATAAAATATAGATACCTATAATATCTTTCCAGGAAACAATTTCACTTAATGTCGCACATTACGGCGGAGGAGCATTTGTGTCGCTGCCGTGAACCCGCGCGTCCATGTCGCCACGCAGGCATCCCTGGGGATTAGGGAGGAAGTGTTTGCTAACTTACTTTAAAATTAAAATAGAGAGGTAGATAGGCTTGTAGTGTGAGAGCCACATCAGGAAGGGCTGGGGCTTAATGCGCCGTCCCATTTGAATAACGCTCTGCATCCCTGTAAAATTATCCATGAGCGGCTGGAGAGATGACACCACCTTCGAGAAAATTGGGATGCCTTTCAGACCATGAAGATTTGGAGGCATTCAGGGATTGTATTGTTGTTATCATCACTATCTCACACACATTCATTTTCTCCACCAACTTGAGGATTTTTTTTGGTCCCTTTTTCAGAAAAGACTTCGTGAATTAATATTTTGGGATTTTTCTCCCTCTGCTTGTGAGAGCACCCAGAGATTACACTCATTTATTTTGCACACATGGTATGGCACTTTTTGTCTCTTCCTGTAGCCTTCTCACACAGTTGGTTGTAAATGCCATTTGCATCTGTTTAAAATGCATTGTAGAAATGTATTATTTCTGTGGCAAACAACCACTTCACGGTGCTCTGCTGTGGGCTGGGAGGGCTGAGCTCCTTCTGCTGGGAAAACAGAATTCTGCCCATTCACGGGTGGTTTAATGTCTATCATGGCCTTAAAAAGGAAAAAAAAAAAGCTCTGAAAGTGGAATGAGATCACCTTTTGCTTGGTTGTTTCGCTGCGTATTGGTAATGCCCAAGAATGTCATGAGCACGTTTAGTAACCCCAAAGTGCAATTTGTGGTACGATGCTCAGGTGTGACCTCCATAGCTCCTTTGGGGAGAGAAGGGGTTTTAGAAGGCGGAAAAAGCAGGGAACGAGTAAAATTTGTTGAAGGAATTGTTCTGTTTGGAGTTTCAGGGGGGGATTGAAAGTGAAGCCACTGAATTTGTGTGTTCCTGGGCCATTAGCATGCACCGAGCTCCATGTGCCTTTGCCATGAATTTTCATAAGGAGTTGTACTACGTAGCATGTGTGGCCTAATGATGCAATCACCTGATGGGCCGGGAAGGCTCCGGAGGAGACGTTCCGGTCTGTTGTATACATAATACTTGTTCCGAAAACCTGACTAATTAAGGACTCACCCAGTGGAATGCAGGTCTGCTGGGTGCACAGCAGGGCGAGAGGAAACAGCAGCAGCACCAACCCTGGGTGCAGTTACAGTACTGCACTCACACCACCCGTTCTGGGGGCGAGGGGCAGATGATGTCCTATCCTCATTCATGCCAGTGCAAGCATTGCTTGTGGTGAACCATAATGGAAGTAAATACATATTTCTCCCTGGCAGAGCTGCTCTGACCATTCCTCTGCCCAACTCCGGCCCAAGCCTGCAGTGACTCGCTCGATGATCGTCTCAGTGACGCGAGGAGGTGGTGGAACGTCACTGCGAATGAGTGTTGCTCCCAGAATTCTGTCACAAACAGCAGCTTCCGTGGTTCCTGGAGTTTCTTGCCTGACTCTGGCAGAAGGAGCAAAATCATTCCCTCACGTGCTCAGATTGGTCCAAACTGACGTTGGATGTAACCAGCAGAAAACAGCTCAGTGCAAGCCTTGGTCAGGCAGGGTGAGAGCTGGTAGGCGTGATGGGCCAAGGAGGGCTCAACCTTGGATCTACCCAGGCACGAGGCTCTGACAGCTTGGGAGAACACCCTGGGTTTGATTCGTTTGTCAGAGTGGCTTTCTTAGCACACAAGCGGGGTGCAAATCGTTCCCTCTGGCAGGTGTTGCCTCTCTGTCAGCTTGGCTGCTGCCTGCACAGAGCTGCTGTGGCCCGGACAGGCTCGTTGGGTGGCACACAGGGTCTGTCCCCACATCTCCCCCAGCCAGGGCTGCGTCCCACAGAACAGAGGGAGCAGGGACACACGCAGAATAAAGGTCAGATGATTCTCCTTAATGAGTGAGATTTCACCAGATTGTGGATCCTGGGCATAATGAGCTCAGTAAAAGGAACCCTGGTCAGATCAAAGTCGGTGCAGATAAGGGGAGCTCAAGGTCACCGAGGGAGCTGCCCAGCAGGGCCATTTGCATAAAAAATTACTGTCAGAAATAGGCCAGAGAGGCAGCCCTGGCATTTTGATCTCTTGGCCTTTGTCATGGAGATTCCTGGTTGAGCAGGGAGGAAGGCCAGTGTCCCAGATAATGATTAACTGTTTTAATGGCATTCATTCATTCATTCTGCACAGGCTACTCATGCAGAAAAAAGGGTTATGTAAAATGACATTAGAAGAAAAATCATTTGTAATCGTTGCATCAGGCTGCACTTTGAGGAGACATTAGGAGTAAATCCATGGCGTGGTAGGCTTATGCTTTATCTTCTGATATTTACTGAGTTTACTGGTGCATGAAAAGCTTTCAACAAGAATAGCAGATGGGATGGACCTTTCATAGGTAATGCTATCTACCAGGTTATTACTTCTATATATTGATAGTGAAGTAATCTCCGAGATATCACCCTACAAATATAGATTATTTAAATGTTTGTAACAGAAAAAGAACTATAACATAAAGAAGCTTCATCAGTGAATACTTTATTCTGTACCTATAGGGCTGAACCCTTTAGAGGCTTTTTTGAGCCTTAAACAATAAGGAAACAGAGGGTTCATAACATGCAGGTTCCTTTTTTGTTTGCCTTGGGAGAGGAGTAAAGTTATGTGGAGTTGTAATCTGACCTGCAAGTGTTCAGTTTAATTTCTTCCTTAAATTTGACCTTTTCTGTTGACTCAGTAAAAGCAAAGGGGGCAGTGGGAGGATGTGTCTGTGAGCCCAAAGGACACCTGTGCTGGAGGGAAGCTCCTGTGCCTGCTGGTGATTCAGGTCAGATGTTAGGAGAAATGTTTTCCCTGTGAGTGTGTTCAGGCACTGGGATATTGCCCAGGGAGATGGTGGAGTCACCATCCCAGGTGGTGTTTAAGAGGTATCTGAATCTGACACTGGAGGATATGGTTTAGAGTTTAAGGGTTCTAGCAGTGACAGGCTAAGGGTTGGACTCAATGACCTTAGAGGTCTCCTCCAACACTGATGATTCTATGATCCTAGGTGCCCAGCGTTGGCATGGGGGTCTCTGAGGGGCAAGGTTACCCTGTGGACACTCCTGAACTATCTCCTCGTTTCTGTAGAGTCGCAATGTGGAGAATTTGTTGTCTATTTCACTGGTTCCAGTTTAAGAACACTAACAACAGCCAAACCATAACTATTCCCATTGAAGGATGTCTGTTCCGCAGACAGAGGTGTCAGCTGCGGCAGGTGACAGTGCAGGACGTGTCTCAGGGGCAATCCCTGCCCCTGTAGGGATGTGGTACTGTCACGCTTTGCTTTCACCCTGCCTGTTCCACGTTCATGATAGCAGAACTCCTGAGCAACCAGGACAGTTCAGTAAGTCCCTCAGACACTGCTGTTAGTCGGAGAACTCTGGCTGTAAGACACGGATGAGAGGCAAAGAAATGGCTTCATATGGGGTGGTTTCCCCTTCCCTGTCTCCCCACCTTTTGTCACAAATCCCTGCTGGATGTTGTCACCCCAGTCCTCCTCAGGCCTCTCCTGATGCGTGGCAGAGGGTGAAGGAGCACGACCCCGAACCATGCAGTCCAACTCAGGGCTGGGAGTTCACAGCCAGGTGACCTTCAGGTGTGATCAGTCACAAAGAGCAGCCCCAGGGGGCTGGTCCTGGTCCTGCCTGTGTTACAGGTGCTGCTGTCGCTGCTCCGGAGGCTCCGCAGGAGAGCACAGAGCCTCCTGGGGCAGGCGAGCTTCAGGGGAAAAGCCGTTCCTGCAATGAGCTGTGCCAGGGACTGCCAGTTTCTGCAAAATCCGGGCCACTCCTTTGGCCCCAGAGGGAAGGAGATGCTCGGCATGCGATGAGGTCCCTCTTCAGCCTTTGTGGCAGGACTCCTGCATCCCTGACTGCTGTTGGCTGTGCAGGTGGAGCATGGCCTCGTGTCTGTGCTCTGGGACTGGTCCTCATTCTCCCCATGCCCTGTGGGGTGTGGGACTGGCCCCCCCACTCTCCCCACAGGCTGTGGAACGGGTTCCCCGTTCTCCCCATGGGCTGTGGGATTGGTCCCCCATTCTCCCCATGGGCCATGGGGCTGTGGGACTGGTCCCCCTTTCTCCCCATGGGCTGTGGGGTGTGGGATTGGACCCCTGTTCTCCCCATGGGCCATGGCATTGTGCCTCTCTGACTGTATCTGATGTCCCCATCGGCCCCAGGGGCTGGATTGGGGCATCTGTGGGAGCAGGAGGGACTGGGTGACGAGGAGTAGGGGTAGAGAGAAACCAGCAGCCTATTTTCTTGCATTCAGAGCTGACCTAACATGGCCAGGTGGAAGAGATACCAGGGATGCCTCTCCCCACCTCGTCTGTGACGCTCAGGCTGAACCTCACTCTGCAAAGTTACAGGAGCCACTTGCAGTTCCAACAAACAGCAGGCAT